TATATATATATATATATATATACCTATTACATTCACTTACGTGCTAATACCCTTGGGAAAGGTGTGAATCAGCTATGGGTAAATAGCAAAATAGGAGACTGGGTTCTATAGCCTTGGATGGCAACTGGTCTAGGAGAAGGACAACTTGAATTCAAAAACCTGCGGAGGGCTGTTTGGGAACCCTGTGGTAGGTACTGTATTCGGCCCTTCTATAACTGTGGATGGTCCTGAATAAAACCTTCAGCACTATAATCAAATCTCATGTGCTGTTATCCGGCTGTCGGTTTCCCAGCAACTGACCTGATACGTCGAATTCAACGAGAGAGTCGATATATATATATATATATATATATATATATATATTGATGCATGTTTCATTACATATATATATATATATATATATATATATATATATATATAATACCATGTTTTGTCTATTTATTTTACGTAACTTCCTTTCTTATTGTCTGATAAGGTTATTAACATTATCATTGAAAGACGAAAGGAAATCACCATATTGATACATGTTTAAATACAATCTAAGCTTCAAGCTTACTTAACCCATAAGCAAAGATATCTATCTATCTATCTATCTATATATATATATATATATATATATATATATATATATATATATTGTTTATACATTATTTTATTGATACAAATATTCAAGTAAATGCTTTGTTTATAATAAATAGTATTAATTACCGTATTTGACTTGATAGCATATAAGGCGTACTTTTTTTTTACTAAAAATATCTTTAAAAATCCCCATGCACCTTATATTCCATATGTAGGTTTAAAATTCGCAATAGTCGGCTGAAATCAGCGACAACTCCTATTAGCTTAGACTTTAGAGTAACTTTCATATACCTATTGTCATTATTTAAAAGGCTATTATGCAGATTAAAGGTGTTATCATCGATAATATTCATTATATTAATTTCATCACGTTTAATAATAATTTTAATTAGTAGTTTGTTTCACTAAAATTATATGCAATAAATTCAAATTATATATTTGTAAAATATATTTGTTTCATTAATAATTTTACTTGCGATAACTTCAGGTTGCTTTGGTATAAATACAATCAGAATATTTATATCCTAATTATTTCACTAAGTCGTTTACAAGACACAGGTTGTTCAGATCATATAAAGGGAAATTTTTGACTGAATTTTCATGGTAATTGTACTGTTTTGCTCAATTGTAATAATTGCTTGATTTTTATTTTGTTTTCTTACCTTTGGATATAATAAAGACTTTATAGGCTCGAGTTTTTTTTTTTTCTATTATTTTTCGTTTAATTGTAATCATGGCTTGGTTAACTAAAATAATACCTCATATAGCCTAGTCTGTACCATTTACTAATAATTTTATTAATTACTTATTTTTTCTTGATTTGCCCTGTTGAATTTGGGGTGCGTCTTATTCACCCGTCACATACAGTACATTTACCGGCCTGAATGTCTGAGAAATTTAATGGAAAATATTTGTACTCCGACAGAAATCGAACCTGCATCCTACACAGAACCGTTATATGTGTATGTAGGTATAAACTGAATTTCTATCGATATGTGGCTATAGTTTACTTGTGATATTATGTATTTAACCTGAAAGTCTCGCAGATGAAAGCTTACAGATGGTGCCATTGCGTCGAACACAAGTAAAGATCAAAGACAAGCAGCCAACAGCATAGGTATTTTGTATATATATATATATATATATATATATATATATATAGAGGGAAGGGGTTATAGAAGTTCCAACGAGAGAAAAGTGTGTATCATAAAAAGAAGAGAGAAACCGCAATATATATATATTATATATACTGATATTATATATATATATATATATATATATATATGTGTGTGTGTGTGTGTGTGTGTGTGCGTGTGTGTGTTTGCGTGTGTGTGTGTGTGAATTTCTAAGAGGATTGAATCTATGTAGAACCCAATGTCCAGGGCAGAGTAAGAGTATAATATAACAGGCTCAAACACTAATATTTCATGGCTATAATTTATTACATTGGAATTGTAATCACGATCCATTTAATCAGACTTAAAATTTCAAATATCCACTATTTGCCTGATGAAGGTCGCGAGACCGGAAACCCGTGTAGCAAAATAAAGCATAAAATATTTTTTTCAAAAATCCACATTAGTAATCTGATAACAAAATGTAAAAAATATCTATGTAACGTGTATTGTTCTTCAAAAGGACTTCAGATTGAAATAATCTTGACTTACGATTACCGATGTTAAGCATGGTCGAGCTTGGTTAGTAACTGGATGGGTGACCGCTTCGAAACACCAGGTAGTGGAAGCTTGGATGTACTGGCGATGTAAAGTGTTTACGGCCATTTCACTTTGAAATTTCCTTATGATCACCGAAGTTAAGCAACATCAAGCCTGGTCCGTACCTAGATGGGTGACGGCTTGGGAATATCAGATGCCGCAAGATTGGATGTGCGGTCGGTGTAGAGAGCTTACGGTCATATCACGTTGATACACCGGTTCGCGTACGATCACCGAAGTTAAGCAACGTTGAGCCTGGTCAGTCCTTAGATGCATTTTATTTGCTTCAGAACGGTCCATTCTGCACTACTATTTAACCCATAGTTGGGAGAAGAAGAGACGAATGCATATCTTTCGCAAAGCTTTTTTTGCGAAATTTAATGTGAAGAACTCGACCAGAATTCGAACACGGTTGAAATAGCATTTATATATTCTTTTCAGATATATACAATAGCAACAAAACGTTCAATTTTCATTGCGGTGATGTTTGTTTTATAAAGTAATTAAGTGTTTTTACTGCGATGTGAAATTCGTGGACAGACTTACTTTATAATGGTCAGCCTAATGTGAATGATTACTCTCTTCTCTTTTGTGTGGGGACAAGGCCTTAGTAGACGGCTGCTGGATATTCGCTTGTGTTGTGTGAATGAAAGGTTTCATTGGTGAGAAAATAATTTCCGGTTGGTTCATGAAAATTTTTTTCTCGAATTTGCGGAAGTGATCACGGGAGTATTTATTATTATTATTATTATTATTATTATTATTATTATTATTTAAATGAGCCCAAAATAATACGTGGTATGTCTACAACTACGTCCGTATTTTGGCGTTATTTACTCTAGTATTTATTGTTTATTAAACAAATCATCTGATGAAATTTTATTGTTAGTTTTAAGATATGCTATATTTATGGGTTAAAAATCAGAGATAGAGCGTATATAAATATAAAATTCGACATATATATATATATATATATATTTATATGAAGTGGATATTGAAGTCAACACCCGGAGCCGACAGTCTCTTTCATGCTAAATGCAATTGTCAGGCCTCTGGGTGTTGACCTCAATATATATATATATATATATATATATATATATATATATATATATATATATATATAAACACTAAAACAATTTACTCGCTACAAAGATGCAATTTCGTTTCGGTGCATTTATTTGCACCTCGACTGGTGAACAAATATTACCATCATTTTGGTTCTCACCAGTCAATCTAAATGCTCTGAAACGAAGTTGCATCTTTGTAGTGAGAAAATTGTTTTTGTTTATATGAAAAAATTTTTAAATGATTATTGCTCTACTATCGGTATTGAGCCCTCTTTAATTAATTAATGCTGTGAACGTTAGAATTTATATAGTATTTTTGTTCTCATTACATTCGGATATATATGTGTGTGTGTGTGTGTGTGTGTGTGTGTGTGTGTGTGTGTGTTGAAATGAAATGTCCCACACTCTCAATGGTAAGAGTGGAATATACCTGGGGGCTTGCTTCGGGAATTACTAGCCTGCCACCCGATTCCCTGTCTTTCAGTAATGTATTCAATTTTACAATAAGCCTCTCTTCTTTCATCTACGCGCGTGTTGTTGTTCCTTCACTCGAGTAACACCTTTCTCTGTTTGTAACCTCTTAAAGGATACAACATTATCCAAATGAAAGAGATGGTGTAAAATTCTACTGTTCGTAGCATTTAATTTTTAAAAAGTGCTCAATACAATCGAGCAATATATGATCATTATTTTTATTAGAAAAGATTATATTAAAACTATGTTGAAATCGCTACACTAAAGCTTTCGTGGGCGTAGTTCTTTAGGCGATGGCAAGCAACTCTAACTAGATTTCAATATGTTTTTATAATCTTTTATAATGTGTGAATATATATATATATATATATATATATATATATATATATATATATATATATATACAGGGTGTCTATAAAGTTCTTGTGCTCATTAAAAAAAATTATAACTTTCTTTGTATTTGCGATAGAAATAGGCTGTAAAAAATGTTATAAAGTCCAATGTACCTAGTTTTAAGTATAGCTAAAATAACTAATGTGATTTCAGGCATTATTGTAAATCAGTTGGCAAATGTTTTCCGTGAACTGCAAAATCGTATTACCCTTTGTATTGCTAATGATGGAGGACATGTGGAAACTTAAATAAAATTTCAATAAAACCTTAAAAAATATAGATTTCTTTCTTTCTAATCCTTTTTACAAATTATTTCTATCGCAAATAAAAATAAAGTTATATTTTTTTGAAGTGCACACGAACTTTATGGACAGCCTTTATATATATGTGTGTATGTATGTGTACGTATGTGGGATTTAATTCCTGTATAAATAAGTGAAAGGCTGCTACCTTCATTTTCAACCATGGCAGGCACCATTAAAAAAGGGTAATTATATTTGTGTTTTTTGAAATTTATTTATTCACCTCTCGCGGTTAAAACTCCTTCGAAAGACTTCTATCTCCTCAGTGATTTCAATTTCTTTCCCACGGGATTTTTCCATTTCGAAGAGTTTAAATGAACGAAATACTTTCTTTCTTTCTTTTTCTCTTTTTATTCTTTTCTTTCTTATTTTCTTTTCTTTCTTTCTTTTTTTTTATTTATTTATTTTTTTATTTTTTTTGTTAACTGAGGTGAGTCCTGATGGTGTCGCCTTGTGCAATTGCAGGAAGGAAGTTAAAGACGCGAAGATGGCATCTTCTTCGACGAACCGCTTAGGCAGCGGTCCGGGAGTGGGGAGTTACATGCCATTTGGGAGACAAGTGGGAGGCAGCGTCGTCTCGGGGAATTTGAGCGGTTGACTGCGAAACCTGACCAAGAGATATTTTAGCGCGCGCTTAGTCAAGATTCAGAGAGACATTAAAAGCCGAGAAGCAAAATGAAAAAAAGACAAAAAACTGAAACGGTGAAAACAGAAATTTTTTTTTACAATAACTGTCTTTCACAATAATAATAATAATAATAATAATAATAATAAGTACCCCCGTCACTTTGTTGACAGACTGCTCTCTAAATCTATAATAAAGTAATGTCGATTCTCTACATAAGTGTTTACTATTCGGAACGATTTTATTCAGACTGTTCTGCACAAATGGATATCGCCATAGAAGAGGAAATCGGAGGAACGTGTTCGAGTCCCAGTTGAGGGCGTTATGTTCACTTGTGCGCATTTACCCTTGAGAAAAGTATGAAAGCAAACCTTCTCCCCATTCCATGGGTTAAATATATATTATGTGTTAAATAGCTGAGCAGATTGGATTCATTATGGTTGGCATTCAGTCTAGAAGTACAATATTGTGTGTGGCCTGTTCATATCTATCTATCTATCTATCTATCTATCTATCTATCTATCTATCTATCTATCTATCTTTTCATTATCAATCTATTTATATAGCTATCTACATCAAGCTGTTTATATCTATCTATCTATATATATATAAATATATGTGTGTGTGTATATATATATATATATATATATATATCATTGCGTTCCTATTTATCTATCGATCTATCTATCTACTTCATTGTGTTTCTATCTATCTATCTATCTATCTATCTATCTATCTATCTATCTATCTGTCTGTATTGTCATTAACGTTCTATTTATATAGCTATCTCCGTCAAGCTGTTTATATCTATCTATCTATCTATCTGTCTGTCTGTCTCTCTGCCTTTTCATTATCAATCTATTTATATCGCTATCTCGGTCAAGCTGTTTATATCTATCAATCTATCTTTTCATTATCGATCGACATATATATATATATATATATATATATATATATATATATATATATATATATATATATCCGTGGTCAATGAGAACGAATAGAATCCAATTCCAACGTTCGTAACATTCAAATAAAAAGAGAGCTCAATACAAAAGTAGAGCAATGTTCTTTATTTTAGGATACTACATAAAAAAAACATGTAAAAAAAAACAAAAAAAAAAACGGCTACACAAATGCAATGATGTTTCGATGTGGACTAACACATCTCATCAGGCATTACTAATTAACTGATTGATTAGTAGACTACGAAAGTCTGATGAGATGTGTTAGTCCACATCGGAACATCATTGCATTCGTGTAGCGTTTTTTTTACGTTTTGATGTAATATCATAAAATAAAAGAGGAGTGTTTAAGCCTTTTTTTTTTATATATATATATATATATATATATATATATATATATATATATATATATATATGCTTTTTTTATTTTATGATATTACAATCGTGGCTAAATAAAACGTATTCTAACCTAAACACATCCAAAAAATCTTTAAGTATACAAATAGAAAAAAATGCCGTAAGAATTTTTTGCCGTTAACAATAAATTTTTAAAAAATCCAGACGACATGCATTTAACGGATGTCAGAATTCATTGAAAAATACATCCCTATCCCTACCAAAACGTAACTAATAACTGATACATCAAAATACAGCGATAATGAAATCGCAAACACCCCTTGTCTGGATGACTGGATTTCTCTGTATCTTTGGAAATGTAAATTATGATTTTTTGCTGTGCATTTAAAACCCAGTAATAAAATGGAACTAATGTCTTTAATTTAATTACAAAATTAAATTCGAAGCTTTTAGCTTCCATTTTTGAAACATGGTTAGAACTGCGTAGCGACAAAACCATATTTTAAATCAATTAATTTATTATATATATATATATATATATATATATATATATATAGGTGTGTGTGTGTGTTAAACGGGTCTGGCCATGTGATCAATCTTATTTCATGGCGTTTTCCTAGGCTATTGTCTTTTTTTTTTATTCCTTTTATTCTTAAGCATCTCACATGATAATAATATAATATTTTCCAAGGAAGGAGGAATGGGTAATGATAAGAGGAAAATTTAAAGCCCTTTTCATATATTTTTGTCTTAGTAAATTGCTTTCTCTTTTAATGTAAAAAGTATCATTTCTAAATGGAAATTATGGTTATTAAGGGCTCATTATCACAAGCGACTGACTAATTGTGTGAGTTGTTTCGATAGCAAGCTAAATAGATAGATAGACAGACAGGCAGGCAGACAGATAGATATGAAGAGACTAATATATATATATATATATATATACACACACACACATATATATATATATGAAGAGACTAAGATAGATAGATATATTAGGTAGATACATATTTAAATAGATAGATAGATATAAAGAGACTAAGATAGATAGATAGATAGATAGATAGATATGAATAGACTGAGATAGATAGATAGATAGATAGATAGATAGATAGATATAAATAGACTGAGATAGATAGATAGATAGATAGATAGATAGATATGAATAGACTGAGATAGATAGATAGATAGATAGATAGATATGAATAGACTGAGATAGATAGATAGATAGATAGATAGATAGATAGATAGATAGATAGATAGATAGATAGAAAAAGACTGGGCTAGAAAGAAAGAAAGAAAGAAATAGTCTGGGCGAGATAGATAGATAGATAGATAGATAGATAGATAGATAGATAGATAGATAGATAGATAGATAGATAGATAGATAGAAAAAGACTGGGCTAGAAAGAAAGAAAGAAAGAAAGAGTCTGGGCGAGATAGATAGATAGATAGATAGATAGATAGATAGATAGATAGATAGATAGAAATAAATAAAGAAAAAATGGACTAGAAAGTAAGAAAGAAAGAAAGAAGTCTGGGAGATAGAGATAGATAGATAGATAGATAGATAGATAGATAGATAGATAGATAAAAAATGACTGATCTAGGTAGCTACGTAGATAAATAGTAAAAGGTGAAACTGAAATTTGTCAGGCTTGTCAGAATTCTTTTTACCAAAATGACTCCATGTCTTCAAATCTTCGTCGATCCGCGACTAAATCAATCTCAAGAGAAATGAGACTTCAGATGTCGAATATCAATTTTTAAGGAAAGAAACAAAAAAATAATAAAAGACCCATCTATTTGTTGTTGCCGTCCCCACCTGTACAAGATCTGATTTGCCTCTCCATCGAAGGCGCCCCTCTGAGAGCCTTATTTCTACTTGTCAATCAATCTGTCTTTTAGGGCCGAGAGAGGAGGGGGAGCCGATTGAGAAAAGAACGAATTCTTCATTATGATTCAAGAAAGTTCGTCTCACTCCTCTCTCTATCACACGCTCTCTCTCTCTCTCACACACACACACACACACACACATATATATATATATATATATATATATATATATATATATATATATATATATATATATATATATATATATATATATATATATATATATATATATAGATCTGGTCAAAATCTAAAGATCAGATTAATCAAAATTATATATTTCAACTGAATTCGAATTCCGCTCTCCGATTCGTCAACCAAAGACTGTATCCATTACTCCACCGTGTCTCCTTACAGAGGAGGGAGAGGTCGACTCATGCCTTTCCCAATATTATTTGTAACTAAATGTAACGAACCTTACTGGAGCTCGGACAGCAGAGTTACAATTCCGAGTCATCATCCATTACACCACCCACACATCCAAACTTACAGCACCTGGTATTCCTAAGCGGTCACCCATCTACGTACTGATCAGGCTCGACGTTGCTTAACTTCGGTGGTCGCACGAGGACCGGTGTTCCAACATGATGTGGTCGTTAGCCTACTAAATAAGAACGTGGCAAGATATTCTTAAATATGAACGGAGGGAGCAGAAAATTAAATAAAGTGTCCAGCTTGAAAATTCATTGAGAATTCCCTGGAGAAGCCCGGATAACAAATCTGCCGAAACGTTATGGTAATGAGATGAGGTCATTATACACCCCTGGTCAAAATCGTGTGTGTGTGTGTGTGTGTGTGTGTGTGTGTGTGTGTGTGTGTGTGTGTGTGTGTGTGCGTGTGTGTGTGTGTGTTCCCAAAATGCAGCTTAAATGATACGTGATGGTCCAACATATTTATACAATTCACTACACTACATAAAACTTTTTTTTTACAAAGAAATATCTTGGATGTTTGGAAAATACTTGATAGTTTATGATGCTATTTGGGTGTGTCATTGTAAAATTAATTTTAAATATCAAATAGAGTGAAAGGTTTTAAAAAAAAACAAAAACAAAAACACTAATCTTTATTAAAGGTTTAACTTTAATTTCACTTTTCATCATAATTGCAATTAAGCCATAATTAAAAACTTAAGTGGGGCATGGTATATTGCTCATATTTTCCTTTTTCTAGCACGCATACTGTGACGTATTCAAAATATTACAAAGTTCGGGTTCCCTAATATCATTTAAGGCGGACTTTATATAAATAGATGATAATGGTGATTTTAAAATAAAATGAAAATTGTAAGCAAGATAAATGTAAACTATGGAGAATGGTTGCATATATGAAGAAAGATTATGCCGAATTAAGGTGTCAAATAAAAATAAAGTAATTTTATTATTTTTAAATTCTTATAACTTTTACATACATAGAACACTTAAGGTAAAAGCCCAAAGGCCCAAAAGCTCTCCACAGAATATTGCCTAAAGGAGAATTTCTAGGTTTATATAATACTAAAACTCTTCTTGTACATATGTATAGATGTGTGTTCCCAAAATACAGCTTAAATGATACATAATATCTTAGCAGATTTACATATACATAGCACAACATATTTATACAATACACTACATCAGAACTTGTTTTTATAAACAAATATCTTGGATGTTTGGCAAATACGTGATAGGTTAAGATGCTATATGGGTGTGTCATTGTAAACCCTGATCTATATGGTTGGAAAACGGTGTGATAGAATTGATGCTAAATAAATAATTAGAAGCATGCTGGTTTACTGCTGTTATATATTTTGCAATAAATGTGAGGCAGAAACAAGTATAAATAATAAAAATTATTATTTTTGAAAAAAAAAAAACTAAGTGCACAAAAAGGAGTCGTCCATAATTTGTTATTTCAATAAATATGAATCTCCCTAAGCAGACAATTGCTGCTTGTTTGTTTTTTATCAGAATGACCTTTATCTTTGGAAATGAAACACGCACACACACACACACACACACACGCGCGCGCGCAAACACAGACAAAGACACACACAGACACACACACACAGAGGGCGTGATGCATAAATTTTCGTCTAAATAACACAAAAAACGAAAATAACACTGACATCACATTTTAACAGATATATTTGTCAAAATTACACAAAATATCTTGAAATACTCAAGAGTAAATTTATTCAATGAAATCGCCATTATTTTCTCTTCTATTTATATGTGCCATTCGGGATTATGTCGATGGAATTGTATTCCTAGTTCAGATAATAGTGATCATGAACAGAATGCCAGCATCATCTGTCAACTGGCCAAAAGAAATAAGACTCAAGACAAAACCTTTCCAAAACAGGAACTATGATCTGGAATTGTAATGAAAGCTGCAAAATCAACTCCCCCGAATCCTTCATACAAAATCAGGATCTGAAATTATGGTGGATGTTATCCGTTATAATAAATGAAGTACAGACGGTAAACAAATTGAACAAAGAATTGGCTGTGATGTAGATAGAAATTGCCCAAAAGAAAACATTAACATAAACATTCCTGGATGATTGATTCGTTTTATTTTTACGGTTTATCAACGCGTTATAAGATCATATTTACATTATTCGGATTATTGTCCTCATCTTTGTTGCCATATTTATCACAACGTTTCGGCCCTTCAGTATCTGTCTATATTTCTGAGATGAGATATTATGTACACTATTTACATTATTCGGACTATTGTCCTCATCTTTGTTGCCATATTTATTACAACGTTTCGGCTCTTCAGTATCTGTCTATATTTCTGAGATGAGATATTATGTACACTATTTACATTATTCGGACTATTGTCCTCATCTTTGTCGCCATATTTATCACAACGTTTCGGCCCTTCAGTATCTGTCTATATTTCGGAGATGAGGTATTATGTACACTACTTACATTATTCGGACTATTGTCCTCATCTTTGTCGCCATATTTATCACAACATTTCGGCCTTTTAGTATCTGTCTATATTTCTGAGATGAGGTATTATGTACACTATTTACATTATTCGGACTATTGTCCTCATTTTTATCGCCATATTTATTACAACGTTTCGGCCCTTCAGTATCTGTCTATATTTCTGAGATGAGGTATTATGTACACTATTTACATTATTCGGAGTATTGTCCTCATCTTTGTTGCCATATCTATCACAATGTTTCGGCTTTCTTCAGGTGGTTGGAATGTCGAACTGAACCCTTTATTTCGCTCCCTAGGGTAGACTGTTCTAGTTCCACGTGCCATGTCTAATGGTGTCAGTTATCTCCTGTTAATTTCCCTCTCCAAGTTCTCTACTGCGTTAACCTGGTATTGAACTCACACTCATTTCTGTCATTGAATCTAATTAACGACTTTAACCACTGTGCCATGTGTCTTTGAGGACATCTGTGTATAAATTTCTGGGTATTATAAACCTAATGTCTTCAGCAACCATTTTTACCAGTGCTCATATAGCAATATTTACTGTTATCATTGCATGTTTTTACCAGAGATCATATTGCAATTTTTATTGTTATTATCGCTTTTCTCTAGCACTCCTTATTACTGGTTCCATATTGTATTCATTTCTATGCTTGGTCGGCTCAGGAGATTTTTGTGGCCTAGCATATATGCTGATTTCTTAAGTTTACGAATTTTCCAATGATGTTCTTTGTCTATGATTTCAACTTGATCCCACAGAGAGCGGTGATCTCTCTTTATAAACTGCGATAGGCAGGTACAAGAGGAGGACAACAACACTCAGAAAACAGTGTGCCTGCCTTATGTGAAGGGGTTATCAGAGAAAATACAATTGATCTGTCGTACATATAACATCAGAACAACCTTCAAAAGCTGAACGACACTTCGCAGATATCTCTCCCGAGTAAGACCACTCATAGAGGAGAACATGACTAAAGACTGCGTGTACGCCATCCCATGCAGCTGTGGAAAGGAATATAAACGGGAGACAGGTAAGGCTTCAAGAACACCAGAAAGCTGTAACACGAGGGGAAGTGGAAAAATCAGGCGTGACTGACCACATATGGAGAGAAAAGGGTGATCACCGCACTCATCTTAGAAATATAGACAGCGTTATAAGATATTTAAAGCCAGAAAATACTTTTAGATTGTAATAAATTTTCCGAGATAATAATGATTTCATGATACTAGTGTTACTAATTAACCCTTAACTGGGGAGGGGGAAAAGAGGTGGTTTCATAACTTTCTCAGGGCTATATGAGGGTGAGTGAATATAACGAACCCAACTGGAATTGGAACTCCGCACATCCAATCTTAGCTGGCATTTGCAATCAGTCTCCCATCTAGGTACTGACTCGATGTTTGATTAGGATTTTGCTTAGATGACATTTGCAATTTTGTCTCTTAATGGTACTCTCTCTGTCTCTCTCTGTCTGTCTGTCTGTCTGTCTGTCTCTCTCTCTCTCTCTCTATATATATATATATATATATATATATATACTTAATAATTCTCTAATTCACTCTCGTGTGGTCATGTGTGACGTCATGAGCTGCGGTGCTATTTTCGATTCCTGCGTCTTATATGCACGTTTTTATCGTTGCTTGGTAATCATCCATATAAACAGAAACAGACTATCATCACATTCTTGTCCGTGTATTGCTTAATATATTGTACAGTAATTGACATCTTTGATAATGGCTTATGTAAGCCGAAAGCTTACATTGGATTAAAAAATATGTATCAATATTGTGATTTTCTTTCTTCGTATAATGATAATGTTATTAAGCTTATCAGACGTTATGAAAAGAATTTACATAAAATAAATAGACAACACTTGTCTATAGTATTTAATGAAACATGTATCAATGAAAAAAAAATGCTGCCTAAATACACACAATTTAAATATATATATATATAGAGAGAGAGATAGATAGATAGATAGATAGATAGATAGTTAATATTAGTGGTAAATATGCACATATGTATGGAAAATATATAAATATATACACACAGGTGCATACACATACATGTATATTTTTTGAATGAAAAATTTCAAGAGGATAGAATCCAGGTAGAACTCAATGTCCAGGACAGAGTAAGGATATAATAAAAAGGCTTAAATACTAATATTCCATGGTCATAATTTATTCCATTGGAATTGTAAATACGATTCGATGGAATAAATTATTACCATGTAAGTTTTTTTATATATATATATATATATATATATATATATATATATATATATATATATATATAAAGTGAAAATTGAAGTCAACATTCTGAGGCGACACTCTGATATTGAGCACTTTATCCCATAAATATAGCACACCTTAAAACTATATTTCTTCATATATATATATATATATATATATATATATATATATATATATATATATATATATATATATATATATCTTTCAGGTTAAGATTATAGTGATAGGGGAAGCACCCTCTTGGGAGTCCTTCCGCAAAGTAGTTAGAGGCTTACAGAGTAAGAGGCGTAGCTTGTACGGATATGTCAGAAAGATAACAGTTAACCCTAGATTTGAACAGTTTAAGATTGTAGTGATCATGGAGAAGCATCCTCTTGGGAGTTGGTTCCACAAAGCAGCA